AAGACATGCGAACGCCCTGTGCAAAGACAGCTCGGCTTTCGGCATCCATTAGTTATCCATGTGGCACACTCTGCCTGCCACAGGGTATGCGAGCTATCGGTCAGCCTCTATGCCATGCAGATATGATAGAGAATCATATTTGACTCCCTTTTCGGGCAGAGCTTGGGTTCATTCTGTGTGGTTTCTCTATATGAGATCTTCTCTTATTTTATGTGAAAGTTAATTTATTATACTTTGCCAGAGTATTTACACTTCGTTGCTTTTTTTGTTGGCTTTGCCTTTTCCGCTTTCTAATTATCCCCAGGCTAATGGATAGAGACAGCAGCCAGAGCTGGAGCCTGTGCCAGAGCGGGCTGGGGCCAGTCGAAAGACAGACGTCGCCTGACATTAGGCAACTCGTGCATAACCAATTCGTTCGATAGCCGAGCACAATATGTGCTCATGTGGGTGGGCGGTGGGTGGCAGTGTCAGGCCATTATCCTGCTGTGCCTCTGAGGTAACCCTACACGCAGCTCGGCACGAGTTGCCAAAAATGCGCCTCATTATTTGCCAAGCTTGTGCCGAAATGCAACTCGAGCCTCATGCTGGGGTACTCGCTTTCGGCCAACAAATTCGGTTGCCTGGCCAACTGAATTCACCACTGAAAAACAAGCAAGATGAAAAAATTTAATATAGCCCATAACTGAGCAATATTCGTTTAATTATTTCGCAGGATGCCAACATAACGACGAGCATTCTGACACTGAAGGTAACAGCGGAGAACGACAATGCGGAGCTGACGTGCCGTGCATCGAATCCCTGGTTCTCCGGCGGCGCCATCGAGGACAAGCGCATCATACGGGTGGCCTGTGAGTATACAGATTGCGCAGAGATTGCTTAAAGGCCCTGCCGTCTCCCCTGACCATTGACCCCTGCGCATCAATTTCGAACTCTCCCACATAAACTCGTTCGGTATTCGAGACATGTATCTATTCTTTCCTTTGCCAGTGTGTGTGTTTGTGGGTGCCTGGCCTAAAGCACTTTCCGTCGCGGCAAGTCCAATTAGAAGCGTATTAGGGCCAGAGCAACGTAACTTGGTTAGAGCTCCACAGTTTGCATCTCTGCAGACGCATCGAGCAGCTGCAGCTCCTCTTCAAACTAAGCCCAAGGCTGACGGCATTCACCTGTTGTGCCTGCTGCACGTTAAGCTGCTTATGGAGTGCAGTCAACGGCATCCCTAACGTCATTATACACGATCATCATCGTCATCAGCATCAAGGCTGTCGTTGCCATTGGCGCTGTTCCTTCCCTCCTTGTTGCTGTTGCTGTTGGCCTTTGCACAGCCTTCGACTTGGCTTGATTAAATTTTCACTGTTATGTTTCCGGTGCTCATTTTTCGCCTAGCCATCATAATATTTGCAACATCCGCTTCCGGCTTCCGCTTTAGATTACTCCTGCCCGGCTACAGCGAGCAGCCAACAGCCAACAGCCAACAGCCAACAGCAACAAAAGCAAATTAAATTACCTGCACTCAATGTGGCCTCGACAACCTCTCGGTGCGACATCAGACTTCATTTCGATTTAATTTCGTGCCGCATTTTTAATAATTCACCATAAATGCCAGCAATTTTTGCCGTCTTGCGCTCAGAGGCCATAGTTCTCTCCACCCCCGCCGCACAAGGAGACCCCCCCACCCCTGGCGAGGAATGGCAAGGCAAGGCGCTCGTCCTGGCGCCAGTCTCGGTCGCGTATTAGATTTTTACAACCGTAACTAATAGTCCCATTTGGCTTATGGCCAGGCGGCCGTGCACCACAATGGACTGGCTGAAGAGGCTCGCCACTGGGCCATAGGCCCCGCTCGATGCTCGGACAGCAGCTGACCATGCGGAGGAGCAGCAGGAGCTGATACTGCTTGCCGCGTCAGCTTGGGATAACTACATTACGCAATGCTGGCTACGCCCGGCCGGGTGGCTCACCTTATGAGCCATTTGCGTTTATTATTTGGACTTTTATCCGGCCATTTGCAGCGCTCATTCGATTTGACGCCCGCACTTACTTATCTGCCCTCTATTGCTTTGTTTCAGACCCGCCCACCGTCTCGGTGCACTTGGCCAACGAGGACCCCAGCCGCATGGTTACCCGGGCCGAGGGCCAGAACGTCACATTCAAATGTCGTGCGGATGCCAGGCCACCTGTCACCAGCTACTCCTGGTTCAAGAACGTAAGTACGCCACAGACTTTCATCAATTGCCTCAACTCCCGCACTCCCACACTCCCACTCCAACTGGGCTGGGCTCCGCCTGACCACTGACGCCTATTAGGCAGCAAACACTTCGGCAATTTTTATTATCAATTGCCGCTCCACTAGGCGCTGGCGCCCTTCCACTTGCGGCCTGTCGAAATTCCTGCGGCAACTTAAGCAGACACTTTGCGGTTTAATTTAATTTACCGAAATTGCTTCGAGAGCTGCGGGCAGCTCCCATTCGCAAGATGCCAGGCGCCAAATATGTGGCCTATTCGGTTACCAAGTGGCCAACATTCGAGGCCTTAAACAGTTTTCTTCTCCT